TGTGTCGTTATTTTTATTATTACTTTAATAGGCTCTCATGAATGTTGTTTAAGTTCGGCATAGGCATATATCTATCTACATGAAAATTTTTAAGTAATATAATTATAGAAATTTTATTTATAGCTTATATCTAATAAGTATACACAGCTCCAGGTATAGGTACATAGTCATTAGTGTCAGATTTATGAAAATTTATCAAAAAGTTTATTGAAAATGAAATACATAAATCTCACTGCTGTCTCCATTGTCACATCTAGCAACTTCTTAGCTACATATAATAACTGGCTATGAAGAAACTATTGGTAGAACTATAAATAATGAATATTTTATTTTTAATTAATAATACTCTTTTATATGCTTGCTTTAGTGTCTATGAATTTTTTTCGATTAATTTTTTCTTGAAAAGATTTGATTTTATTCTGAAAGAAAAATGTGTTGGTGGTTCAAAATTCTGCAGATGGCACCAATCTGCCATGTTCAAAAGAAAGATCACATTAAATTTGCTTATTTATTTTGTAAATTTTAATGTAAACAAAAGTGTTAAAAATTAGCTGACCTAGAGAAACTATTTCAAGACCGCACTCAACGAATTTGTAGCTAATTTTTTCGGCAGCAGAAATAATGGTGCACGAGTAGTGAAATTTTTTCAATAAAACGATGATATACAGGGTGTTTATACTGACAATACTTTTACAATATTTTTGTACCAACTCTTAATTTCACACTAAAACAAGCAATACTTATCTGTATTCGAACATAAAAATATTGTAGGAGTATTGTTAGTGTAGTTGCCGACCTAGTATCAAAGTATTTTAACCTTAGAACCTTTGAAAATGTTAAGAAAAATTAAATTTTCCATAGAATTTTTATATAATTTGTGAAATAAATCAGCTTCAGTCTACCAAATTTTGAACCTATTACAAAAAAAGTTCTCAAGTTAAAAGATATTTAATGAACTTAATCTTTGAAGTCAATTATTACGAAAAAATAATTCTTAAAATTTCATGATT